CTCCGGGAGTGCCGGCAGAAGTGAAAACTTGAATATTAACGTTGTGCATTTTTGATATTTTCGAATGGTTAGGGAATAATTTTGCACGAATTGCTTTAATTATCAGTATAAAAGTACTATCATGTATGTGGTAGAATACAATATTTATTTATTACGCTATCGTACACAAACATGACAATTTATATTACATTAAAAAAGTTTATCTCTCAGAAAAATCAACTTACATGAATCACGTTTAAGCGCACTTAGCGACATCTATTGTAAAGAAATCAACTTACATGAATCACATTCAAGCGCACCTAGCGACATCTATTGTAAAAAAAATGCATTTTCCTCGCAATAAAGCTGACACGTGGACGTCCTAGATAGTGACTTATTATTATAATACGGTAAAATAAAATATTACTATGTTTCGTCCAATATATTGAAAGTCAACAACCTTTCCATTTTTATTGTGTGTCATGATGCGATCAGCCCACGTGTTTAACCTGACGCGAGTTTAACATTTTTTACTCATACAAAAAAAGTGTACAACGCCGTAAAGAAGTTTTCACTTCAAAAAAAATTGAATGAGTGTTGTTGTTCGTCACTGATTTTGAAAAGTAAGTGATTGTATTTTAAATTAATAAGTTCTGCCTAGGTACTATTTAGTTTATGGGTGCATTATTTGAGAAAAGCCTATATAAGCCTTGGTTACAACTAGGCATTTATGTACTTACGTATGTGTGCCTCGATTTCGCCTCGGCTCACATTCACACGGTCACCCATCAATGCCTCTTTTGCAGATCGCTTCAGTAATCGACTAATAAACAATTAGACACACATTAACATGAATACCTTCTTTAACATTGACGTTGACGACCTCCGTGGTCGAGTGGTTTGTACGCCGGGTTTCATGGTGTCGCTGACTCGAGGGGTCCCTGGTTCGAGTCCCGGTGGGGGCAGATGTTTGTGTGATGAATACGAGCATATTACAAGCTTTTATTTAAATTGCTATGTATGTTTGTTACGGTCAAATCTTACAACTCAATTTTAAAGCACTTGCCCTCAACCGATTAAGCTGAAATTTGGTATGCTCGTTTAGTTCGGATGACAATGCATGATTAACAGTGTGACGTCATTCTAAATCCAATATGGCGGCATACCCAAAATGGCGGACCAATCATTTTTAATGCATTCCTACAATATGGGTATCAAATTAAAGGGCTTGCTGAGAGTAACTCGAAAAAAATGTGACGTCACTCTCAATCCAATATGGCGGACTTCTAAAATTTGAAAATCTATTTAGAAACAGATATCTTTAACTAATTTAGTTGAAATTTTTTAAACGCGTTCAGTTTGTTTGACAATGCAAAGTTAATTGTGTGATGTCATTCTAAATCCAAGATGGCGGAACACCCAAAATGGCGGATAATTTTATTTTCTTTTTAGCGCATTTGAATAAAAGCTTGTTTTTAAAAAGGTTTTTTAACCTTAATTTTATTTGTACTCCAGTCATGGATGTTTCATATGTATTTCTATATAATAAACTTATATGTACTGTATATGTATTCTATCCGTTACCCTAGCATACCATAATACAAGCCTTACAGTGCTTACTTTGGGGCTAGGCTAATTGGTGTAAGTGTTGGAAATATATATTTATTTATATATTTATATTTAACAGCAAAAACCAGGTCTCCTTATGCATTAACCTAATTGTGATCTTCAACGCCAATAAAGGCACGCTCAATATTCTAAGAGACGTCACGGCAGCCATTGTGGCGCATCAAAGAGACGTTTCAAAGCAGATTCCGCACAGAATTGTTGCGCGACTGCTGGCGACAATTAATGTGTAGAGTTGACAAAGCGACCAACCTGCTGGAATTTTAATAAAGCTCGCATGCGGAACTTGGTTTTTGCTCAACCGAAATTGAGTTCAAAACGTTTAATAATAAGGCTTGTTATGAGTCGAACTCGTTTGATATTATGATGTTCACGACATAAGCACATCATTTATAAGCGTAGGCAATTTTATATATATCTCTTTTTCTAGGAATGAAATGCTGGCTTGTTGAAGTTTACTCCTTAAGAATCGATTTGCATATATAAGGAGCCCGGTACGAGAAAAATGTTAGGAGTGAAATCTATCGATGAATGAGCTCGTTACGTTTTTACTGTCTACGCTGTAGCAGCCGTAGTCCTACACCGTAGCACAGTATCGTAGCGTACCTTTATTTATGCACATCTGAAATTGACTATTGTAAAAAGTTTAATGTAAAATATTTCGTCGATTAGTTATAATAAATGTATATGAAATGGATAAATATATATTTATATATGTATATTATTTTCATTAATTTGTTAATTTACCCTTTCATACAGTATCAATCTTTTTTAAGTTAAATAAACTCTTTTTGCGTCTGGTTAGACTATCGAACTTAAGAATTAAACTCCAGTCGTGCGTCAGAGCTGACACACAATTTTTTTTGAAATTAAAGCGATCTTTAAGATATAGGTTCAATATATAATGAGAGATTTCTAAACCTTTTTCCTAATTTAATATTAGCAGTTAATGTATTTGTACATTAAAAAATACTTCAAGACTAATTTTAGACTTCGATAGTCGGTACAAAATGAATGCAGATGCGCTTACGGTCAGAGGTCATTATATGATTAATATTACTGTACTCAACAATTTTGGTACTAATTTTAATATTCTTGTCTGTAGACCAAAGTTCAATACCAAACATGAAAAAACCATAGCTAGTATCATCATCATCAGCCTATTAATGTCCCCACTGCTGGGGCACAGGCCTTCCCTATGGATGGAATAGGGAGATAGGGCCATGACCCACCACGCGGGCCCAATGCGGACTGGCGGGTGCTAACGACTGCAGATGCAGCCGGGACCAACGGCTTAACGTGCCTTCCGAAGCACGGAGGAACTCGAGATAGAAGATTTTTGGTCACCCATCCAATGACCGACCACTGCGAACGTTGCTTAAATTCAACGATCGCAGCGGAACGCGCTAACCACTTGCGCCATCGAGCTCCTCTCCTCCATAGCTAGTATGCTAGCATATTATATGAGATATCATCTTTGTTTCTTAGGTTTTCACGCACATCAATCATTAAATAAAACTAGTTTGAACTGGTCAATGCACGAAACTTTATTTATTTATTGACGTTTCGCAGCCTTTTCAGGTCTGCATCAATTTAACATAAGAAGGAGATAGAAAGCGTCTCTGAGTTTGTTTCGCCGGTTCTTCTCAGAAAGGTCTCCCAATTTTGGGACCAGTGGTAGTTTACGGTAGTCAGGGCCAACTAAATAAACTCAAATTTACAAAAAGGAATTTTAAATAAAGTACTTTATTAACTAATAAATTCATACATAGACAATGAAGTTTTAAAAATATAATAAAACTAGTTTTTTTACGGGTTAATGCACGAAACTTTATTTATTTATTAACGTTTCGTAGCTTTTACAGGCTACGTCTTCGGAATATTTTTTTTTTTAAAATAAAAAAATAAATAAAACATAAAATTTATATTTGATTCCAACGACGTAGCCTGTAAAGGCTACGAAACGTCAATAAATAAATAAAGTTTCATGCATTAACCCGTAAAAAACTAGTTTTTTGTGTTGCAGAAGCGGTTTGATCAACTTACAATCTAAAGACAAAAGACTCTTTAAGAGAAAATTTTAAAGAAATCGATTTAATGACAGTCGCTGCTCAGTATATTTATGAAAATTTAATATATGTTAGAAAAAATATTGATTTATTTCCTATAAATAGTGTTCAATACTCGCTTAATACTAAAAATAAAAATAAACTAGCTGTAACAATTACTAGGCTTAAAATCAATAATGAAATTAAAGGTCTTTGTGTATGCTTCTACAATAAAATCCCTTGCAATATCCAACAATTGAGCGTCAACCAAATTTAAAGTTGCTATTAAAAAGTTCTTATGAATAAAGCGTATAAGGTAATCAATATGTCGGATGGGCGAGCGAGATAGGTGGTTGGCCACGTGGCTTGTCTTGATCCGCCATCTTGGTTATTCAATGATATTTCCCGAAAATAAAACTGTAGTCTAGTGACCAAGCTAACGTTTAATTTGAATCTTCTTATTACTTTACAAAATCAGTTATGATTGCCAAGGTACAATCGGATTGCTTTGTGAAGCGCGGAGAGTTCTGTGCTTACGTCCGTTCTCTATCGCAGCTCACGTCTGAATGCCGAATGCCCCTTCCAATGACGCATAGCGCCTTAAATACTACCCTTAGCATAGACCACTCCCAAGTGATGACAGCTGTCACTGTCATTACTTGACGTTTCACAAAGCAATGGTACACTGACTGATGACATTTGTTGTCGGTTTAATGTTTCGAAGGAGCGAGTGAGACGCCATCCGCCGATAAATATAATAATTCTCAATTAGTTATCGCCTATTATTCAAATGTAAGCAGGACACTACCTTTATTGCAAATTGAACAGGGTATTTGACAGTATTAAAAATAAAGTGCCAATTGTTAGCATCTGTGTTTAGAATAAATAATGGCAGGGGTTTTTACTATTTTTACAAAAAAAAAAAAAACACAACTATACTAAAAACACACGAAAAAGATAATACTTTTCTTATCTATTGTCACGTGACCCAAAACGCTTGGGATTGTCGGAGCCTAAAATGACGTCACACGCAAGGAAACTTCCGGTTAAAGTGACATTACATTGTATCATTTGCCGTTTTAGTAACAATCGTGTGACGTCACACACTAGTAAGACGCCATATTGTCCAGAGAAACTTTTTCGCGGCAACTTGAAAATGGAGTTTTTGATTTGGTTACTTTTACTGAAATACACAACAGTATTATGAATATCTACTATTTACGGACTCCATAAACATTAGTCAATAACATGAGATGGTTTTCTAAAACTTGTCAAATATCCTATTATCAGTTAATATCGTCAGTTTTTGTTCCAGTGGTTCCGGCATGGGGCCAGTTGATCTTCCTGATGGAGCCGCCTCCTCGACTGGCATTCTCCAACAGCAGCGGCGCGAGGGTCTCCTGCGCGGCGCACGGAACTCCAGCCCCCACCATATCCTGGATGACCGAAGACGGCGCTCCAGTCACTGACGTACCGGGGTTGAGGTAAGTAGGAGACACCTTAATGGATGCATGGTTTAGTCTGAATACGATGATGAGAACTGATCTTCTTGATGGAGCCGCCGCTTCGACTGGCGTTCTCCAACAGCAGCGGCGCGAGGGTCTCCTGCGCAGCGCACGGAACTTCAGCCCCCATTATACCCTGGCCCGCCCTCGCTTCGCTTCGGTGTAGAGCTGAAGTGTAGACTTCAGTTTTTGTTCTCAGGCTTGTATTATACACAATGACATTCATCTATGATTCTTCTTATACCTGAATGCAAAGTCTCAGCCCGATCGGTTTAAAATTGACAAAGTTTCATACACACTTTCATTCCCCATTTTATTCCGTTGGGGGTAGAATTGATCAAGATCCTTTCTTAGTGTATGCCTACGTCATAACATCTACCTGCATGCCAAATTTCAGCCCGATCCGTCCAGTGGTTTGGGCTGTGCGTTGATAGATCATTATGTCAGTCAGTCAGTCACCTTTGAGTTTTATATAATTACTAGCTGTCCCAGCGAACTTCGTACCGCCATAAAAAAATAAGGGTTGGTGGTAGAAGGGTGAAAATTTAGGGTTATATGTATTTTTGTTTAATGTATCATAAAAAATTAAAAAAAAAATCTATAATTGAAAAAAAAAATTAGAGGTGGATTACCCTTAACATTTAGGGGGACGAAAAATAGATGTTGTCCGATTCTCAGACCTACCCAATATGCACACAAAATTTCATGAGAATCGGGAAAACCGTTTCGGAGGAGTTTAACCACAAACACCGCGACACGAGAATTTTATATATTAGATATAGAAGATAGATGACCGAATACGGCGCTCCAGGTTATGACGTGCCGGGGCTGAGGTAATTACAAGATACCTTGATTGCTGCGTGGTTTATTCTGAATAAGATGATGAGAACGGATTTCGTGACTCCCACCAGATCCTGGATGACCGAAGATGGTGCGCCAGTCACCGACGTATCGCGGCTGAAGTATATAATAATTAAAGATAATTTTATTACTGCGTTGTTTAGAATAAGAAGTTATAATGCGATTCAAGTAAGAATAGGACCGACTGGGCGCCATATTGTGATGTCATGGCTGTCAATTCAAACCAAATGGGTAGAGTGAGCAAAAAAAAGTTTTTATTTAATAAAATTATTTGCTAAGATTAAGTGAGAAAAGCATCAGATTTTAAATAACATTTATTTACTAAGATTGAGAAAAAAAACACCTGTTTTTAATAATATTTTTTTATTAAGACTGTGAGAAAAAACATTAATCAGAATCTAGCTCTTCTATTCCGCTCATCTCTGCATTACCGCCGGAGTAGTTATGAATAATCATGCACTATTACTACGTCACATACGAACTTTCATCCTTAATGTAAACGAAAGTTTGAAATCGAGTTTCTGAACGCAACTTAAAGTGACATTTGGTTGACGATTTAAGTTATCAACCATTCATGGCCAAAGCTCAATAAGTGAAAAAAAAATCAACCCATATTAATTATCAATATTTGTTATTGTTTGTTTACAAATGTTTGGTTTTTATTCTTGAATTAGCGGAGTGCAAAAAAAGGGTTCCAAGTGTTTTTTTGCAAACCGTACTTTTCAAGCGACATTTGACAGATAGAGGTCATTGGCTTTCCTATTCTTATTCGAATCGCATTATACAACAAAGAATGATGATGTTTGCTATTATCGTTATATTATTGCGGGTCATTATTTGAAATATTCCATTGAGGATGGTGAGAGTGAATCGACGTTAGCGCTATCTGTAAATTGCTCGGCACTCATGTAAGTAATCATGGTTATTACATGATAACTGCTTACCACCAAGCATGAGTAGCAAGCAGTTACATAACTTTGTCGACTTACATAACCTTAATGACTGGAGAGCCAATCAGCGCAAAGCACGCCCACCCGCGCACCTCGTTTCCCCCTAAGACATCTTAATTTTTACTTCTGCGCAATAACGGTCAGCGCTAGAGTTTCGTGCCGCGACTTATATTGACTATTGTTACAGGATATAATCTCTTATCTATTAGACAAGTCCGTCCGTCTGTCTGTCTGTGGTGCTGTTTCAACGGCCAAACCGTAAGAGATAGATAAACAGAATATTTAAGTTATAAGTTAAGAATAGTCTGTTAAGACTACAAACCGGATTTGAGTAACGTAGCACTTCCGGTTTTCGAGAAATCAGGTTTTGGTGAACATTTGGTTCACTGGTTTGCTAGTTTACTTTTATGGTATAATGTTTTTAAAATTCTCATTTATACCTAGCTCGGTTAGGTTTTTAATTTGAGGCTTTAAATTAATGTTATGTACTTTCAAATTGATATTTAAACAATTGCTAGCCTAAAATGGCAACAAATAGCCCAAGATAGAGAGAAATGGGAAGCCTTGGAGCAGGCCCTTACCTGATAAGGGTTCCAGTGTCATTAAATTAGTACCTCACAAAATAAAATGAAAACATTATTTATATATTTTCAGTGAAGGTACTTATATGATATATAGTAATTGGATGATTTTTTAAATGGAAAGCTGGAAATAAAAGCCTTTTTTTTTTCAAAGAAAGAGAAAGAGGTTAGACGGACCTTGTGGGCGGAGCAGGCGCGCCACAGTTATGTGTGAGCAAATGCTCATAACTTGACCAATACTTGGTTCTGATTGCGTCGTTTCTCTCGTCGTTGTATACTTACAATTCTTATTGAATTCCATTCAGAAATCAATATATCTTTATTCAAATTGGATGTATAGTAAAACACTTTTGAATCGTCCATTTTCATTCAGTGTGATATAATTTATATGAATTAGATGAAAAGCGTCTACTGTACTAGTCATATCATGCAGCATGTACTTACATCATATCTCTACAAAGGAACTCGACCCCTAATGAAGAGTACTCGACGATTCCGAATGATATCTATATGGCAGTAATTCATTCAATTTGTAAGCAACCTTTACCATGCTGGAGGTATTTATGAGTGACCCTTACGATCGGATAAGTATCGTCGGATAAGAATATTTACGAAATTTTCAAAAGACTCGATGATTATATTACGTGTGCCTTTTATATGTCATGTCAAATGAATGCTTAGTTTCAAGTACTGAGGGGTCATTGCTTGAGAATTATTAAAAGCATTTGTCAGAACATCTAGTCTCATAGGTATCTATCTACCTGTACCCTTAGTATGAGTTTGAGCTCACGAAAAACTATCATAGTTTTCGTAATTGGAAATTATGTTTCTATGTCCATTTTGGTGAAAATTTACCAAATATACTTAAAATTTAAGAAGACGCAAACGATTTAATGATAGAATTTAAACACTTTTTTTTTGTATTGAAACGAAAACAATAAAATCAGTACACTTAGTACGAGTGCGAGCTCACGGAAACTGTCATAGTTTTCGTAATTGTAAAACTCGTACTAAGGGTACTGTTCCCAGAGCATCAACAGCACTTTTTATTTTTTTTTAGGATTCCGTACCTCAAAAGCAAACAAGAGAATTTATAGGATCACATTATTGACAATCTATCCGTCTGTCCATCTGTCTGTCAACCCTTTATCTTCGACACGCACTTAGCAGTTTTTAAGGGTTTCGTACTACTGACAAGGAACCCTTATAGTTTCGTCATGTCCGTCTGTCTGTCCGTCCTCGGTTTTGCTAGGGGACTTTTAGTACTAGATAGCTGTTATTTTGTGGAAATATGTATTTCAATCACGCCGACAAAACGGTAGAATATAATTTTGACAAAATATTTTTTAGGGTAGCTCATCTACATGTAGCCTGGGGATGTTTTTTCTTTCATCGTCTACCTTATAGTGTAGGATATTGTGAATAGGTCCTCAAAAATTACTTAAGGGTTCCTAAGACTATTTTTCGATTTAAGGATGCGTTTGCGAAATGTTAAACTTTAAAATGCTAATTTTTGTTCGAGTGGGGCGTCCCCCCTCCCCTCTAAAAGCTAAATTATTGGTTTGAAAAACCTGGGAAAATTCACTATAAATTTGCTTTTCACGAATTTTTAAGGAAAATTATAACGGTTAAGACGGGTTATTAAGAGTAATAGTCGTTCAACTTTGGTTAAAGAAAATTTCTTACCTATTGAAAATTCCTTAGAAGAGACATTAATAGTGACAAAGATGAAGTTATTATAGCGTAAAACCTTGCATTGAAAAACAAAATTTAAAAAAAAAAACACTATTTTAAAACCACAATAAAATATAATTAAATCTAAAGAAAAATTTACTAGAAAAAAATCCACGCGGACCAGGCAGCGGACGGGACTCGAACCCGAATCCTTCGCAATCCGGGCGAATGCACTGACCATTATGCTACCACGGCCCTATTAGCCGCGTCGAAATTTTCCTAGCGTTAAGCTGCAAGGCAGCGCCATCTCTTCGCATTGTAGGTAACCCACAATGTCAAATGAATACTTTTTCAAGTATTAAACATTTGAAAGAAGAAATAGCAATTATAGTTATGATTTTATTTATTTTTAAGCATTTAACTGCTAGATGATTAAATCTAAAGAAAAGTTTACTAGAAAAAAAAAGTCCACGCGGACCAGGCAATAATAAATAAATATAAATAAATAATAGGGCCGTGGTAGCATAATAGTCAGTGCATTCGCCCGGATTGCGAAGGGTGCGGGCTCGAGTCCCGTCCGCTGCCTGGTCCGCGTGGATTTTTTTCTAGTAAAACTTTTCTTTAGATTTAAACATCTAGCAGTTAAATGTTTAAAAATAAATAAATCATAATCACGTTAACTATAGTCGCCTTGACCCAGTCTCTTGTAATCCCGTGCAAGATTAATTTCCGTCACGCTCGGTCAAGTTTTGTTTCATTCGATCTCGTTCGCGAATGAGTGAGCGGTATCCTTTATCGTCTCGCGGAGGCCAATTAATTGTTGTCCTGCCTTTTTTGTCCTGCTAAAAGGACAGGGATAATGCCGTTTTTTTCTCGCTGCTGCATTTTGTTGTGTGAATAATGTACTGGCGTTGAAGAATTGCTGTGTTATTTATTATATGGTAGGGATGTTTACAACATAAATTTGGGTCATGCATGAATAGATCTCATCCAACATGTAGTCAATCACTAGCCACCAGTGGGATATTTACATTTATATTTATTTATTTGTACCTTTAAGCAATGCTAATCTAGTACAATAACGCCTTAAGGGCAATATTTGGTCTACCTTGGCGATGCAGTGCGATTGGTATGTTCGCTGAGAACTACGTAACCGATATATATACACATATATTGTTAGATTAAAGAAATTTTTTAATAATGTATATTAATTTATTTATTTCATTTAATGAAATGTGTAAAACTATGTCATATAGTTTTGATTGTTTATTATTATTACCTATTTAAAATTCAGTAATGATTATATTTTATTTATTTTTTATTAATATTTTTTTTGTTATTGTTTGAATTTAGTTAGAATAATTGACGAGTTGTGATACAACGATTTAATTTTAAGATAAAATGGGACAAAATGCAATTATAATTGTAATTTTTAATATGGGTCATTGTGCCTGAAAATAAACATTTATTATTATTATTATTAATTTAGGGAAGAAACTACTAATAATATTAAATAATAATATTTGACGACCTCCGTGGCCGAGTGGTTTGTACGCCGGGTTTCATGGTGTCGCTGACTCGAGAGGTCCCCGGTTCGAATCCCGGTGGGGGCAGATGTTTGTGTGATGAATACGAGCATTTGTACTCCAGTCACGGATGCTTAATATGTAATTCTATATAAATATACTTATATATGTACAATATATGTATTCTGTCCGTTACCCTAGTATCCCATAACACAAGCCTTTAATAGTGCTTACTTTGGGGCTAGGCTAATTGGTGTGAGTGTTAGCAATATTTATTTATTTATTTATTTTATTAATTTATTTAATTAATTGTTGTCCTGCTAAAAGGACAGGGATAATGCCGTATTTTTCTCGCTGCTGCATTTTGTTGTGTGAATAATGTACTGGCGTTGAAGAATTGCTGTGTTATTTATTATATGGTAGGGATCTTTACAACATAAATTTGGGTCATGCTTGAATAGATCTCATCGAATATGTAGTCAATCACTAGCCACCAGTGTGATATTTACATTTATAATATAAATTTATTAATTTGTACTTTTAAGCAATGCTAATCTAGTACAATAACACCTTAAGGGCAATATTTGGTCTACCTTGGCGATGCAGTACGATTGGTATGTTCGCTGAGAACAACGTAACCGATATATATACACATATATTGTTAGATTAAAGGAAGCGTTCCACAGGAGACTTTATGTGTCAAACAATAATATTATTGCATCAGTATACTCACCAATAACATATATCAACTTGGTGAAGTCCATTTAATACACACTGTCTGTTATCTGCATATCGCCAATGTTTGCAAAGTGCAAAGCAAATTTTTAATAATGTATATTAATTTATTTATTTCATTTAATGAAATGTGTAAAACTATGTCATATAGTTTTGATTGTTTATTATTATTACCTATTTAAAATTCAGTAATGATTATATTTTATTTATTTTTTATTAATATTTTTTTTGTTATTGTTTGAATTTAGTTAGAATAATTGACGAGTTGTGATACAACGATTTAATTTTAAGATAAAATGGGACAAAATGCAATTATAATTGTAATTTTTAATATGGGTCATTGTGCCTGAAAATAAACATTTATTATTATTATTATTAATGTAGGGAAGAAACTACTAATAATATTAAATTATAATATTTGACGACCTCCGTGGCCGAGTGGTTTGTACGCCGGGTTTCATGGTGTCGCCGACTCGAGAGGTCCCGGGTTCGAATCCCGGTGGGGGCAGATGTTTGTGTGATGAATACGAGCATTTGTACTCCAGTCATGGATGTTTAATATGTATTTCTATATAAATATACTTATATATGTAAAGTATATGTATTCTATCCGTTATTCTAGCATCCCATAACACAAGCCTTACAGTGCTTACTTTGGGGCTAGGCTAATTGGTGTGAGTGTTGGAAATATTTATTTATTTATTTACATTTACATTTATTTATTTGTACCTTTAAGAAATGCTAATGTAGGGAAGAAACTACTAATAACATTAATTAAATAAACACTTTAGGCATCACATCACACACATCATCAGCCTATTAATGTCCCCACTGCTGGGGCACAGGCCTTCCTTATGGATGGAATAGGGGCACTTTAGGCATTGTTGAGGACAGCACGTTGATTTATAATATACTATATAGTTTAAGTAAAATATGTAAATTAAAAGAATTATTACGAAGTCTTTTCATTCCCCATAAATTAAGAGTAGAAATTATAATAAAGATAGGTAGAAGTAAGCCAAAGATTAAATGATTTTGAAAGAGGTAAAACAATATTTTCCCTAAAAAC